TCCAGCAATTTCTTCATAATGAGGTATGTTCCTGATTGACTATGATAGTTCACTTTTTTAAGAACACTGTTACAGTGACTAGCTTGATAGTGCTTCATTAAATAATTTACACCCCGGTCCAGCGACTGGATTGCTGGAGTTGTTTTGGCATGTGTTCCATTGCTCAGATAAGTGAGTTTGGGAATGTAAACCAGACCATCAGGGGGAAAAAGAAATCAACAGTCATTCGGGTCCAAAAACAGAAATTGCTGGAAAAGCCTAGCTCAATGTTACTTCTGATCTCTCTTCACAGATACTGACAGGCCTGCTGAGCTTTTCCAGCAATTTCTGTTTTTGGACCCGAATGACTGTTGATTTCTTTCCCCCCTGCCCCGATGGTCCGGTTTGCATTCCCAAACTCACTCATCTGAGCAATGGAACACATGCCAAAACAACTCATGCAATCCAGTCGCTGGACCGGGTTGTAAATTATTTAACGAAGCACCATCAAGCTAGTCACTGTAACAGTGTTCTTAAAAAACTGGACTATCATAGTCAATCAGGAACACACTTCAGTTGAAGCATATATGTTACTCTCCCATCACTGATCCACACAAGTTTCATGAGGATATCTGAGCATTCTCATGGTTGAATTGGAAAGCAGGGAGAAAAAGACACACTCAGAAAATAGGGAGCATTACCATCAGCCTATAAGCACTGCTGGATCTCCCTTTGGTAATAACTATTGGGTGTAAGTGCAGATAAATGCTCAAATAAACACAGATCATAGACGGACAAATGTCTCATCTGGCTACTGCGGCTTTGATTCAACTTCATTCAAGAGTTAGAGTAGTTTGGCAATGAGTGCTGCACTAATACACATGCCCCACCATTGCCAGTTTCTGCCAAATTTGCTTCAAATCCTAGACTAGCTGCACAAAACAAAACAGCCACTAATGCTGCCAGGTTTGATCAGGAAGTTGCAGGTTTGCCAATTTCCTTCACGAAAGACGTACCACCTACACAGAGTCTGGTCTATATGAAATATCACTAAGGAAAGTTGCCTTGGTCATCATCTCACTGCTGTTTATGGAAGCTGGCTGTGCATAAACTGATTGCTGCATTTACCACATTACAACAATGACAATACTTTCAAAGAGTTTCACTGGTTGTAAAGCACTATGGGACATCCTAAGTTTGAAATGGACTAGATAAAATACGAGTACTATATCTCTAAACTTTACAAATAGAAAATATTATTGATTAGGCACTAATTCTGACAGTGCTTTCAAAAATAAAAGAACTTCAAAAACTAGTCATTCAATTAAAGTTTGGCAGCGACTATAACCATGAAACCACCACCTGCAAGCTCCCATCCGAGATCTTTCGCCAACGCTGGGCCAAAATCTCAGACCTCTTTTCCCAACAGCACAATGGGGTATACTTACATCACACAAATCACAAAGGTTTAAGACTGTGGCTCTTTGCCATGTCTGCCAGGGCAACTGGGTAACTGCTGCCCTTGCCAGTGACTCATCAAATGAAAGAAAAAATTAATAAAAGACTATTAAACCTCCCACTTTCTCAAGTTTGAGGCTGGTTGCAATTTCAGCTGAAGACAAGGCATGAGAGGTACACTCTTAGATAAAAGGATGAAATGAAAAATACATTAGCAAGCACTGATGATGTAAGATGGGGAGTCAGCTGTCTACATTATATAGGAATGGCTTTGTCTGTATTAGCAAGAAGCATTAGCAAGGCTTTCATCTTAACATATCTATATTCATTTTGATAAATACATCTATTTATACATCTGGGAGTGCGTCCTCTGCTCAGTACCTTAACTGAGTGTGCAACCCATGTGCATTATCAATTGGATTCCTCAAAAATTAAACTGCATACTGTGCCTCTCACACTGTCCTCTTGTGCTTCACCAATCCTTTCCAAGTTAGACTTAGAAGCAGTATCAAAGTCAGGTCATCCACTTGTTGTCCCCACAGCATAAGTGGGGCCATCAGTATTATCGAGTTTCTCCCCTAATCCATGCCTCAACGTCACTCATCTATCATTTCTGCATCCACCCCCGCCTGACTCCTCTTCAGATTTTAACTTCAATTTCTCCTTTAACAGCTGCCAGAAGGCTATCTAGTTTCACCCCAAAGCCTGCACTTGGCTATCTTTTTCTCTCTAAACGTAGTTAGCAATCCTTTTGATTCCTGAATCTCTACTCAGGTAAAAACCTACTCATTAGCCTCTGCCCTAGCAGCTGCTCTGACCATCCTCGACCATATCCGAAGCCAGATATAACAAAGTGGGGAAAATATGCAGAGCTCATGCTTGCTTTGGTTCAGACTACTTCTGCTGCAGGGGTTGACCAGCTGCTGGCTCTAGTCTCCAGATTGGCTGCATCCAGGTACTTTCTCCTAAGTCACTGCTCTCAGGAAGCAAAGTAACAATATCCCCCCACACCCTTCTATTTGAGGGTAAGCCGGCAGTCAACACAACTGGCCATTCTTCACAAAGTCTCTTTCAGGTACATGTTTTCTGCAGGTACCACATACCTTATCATGTGAATATAACTGTCCTGACAAACGGTCCTATATATCTGTCTGGCCACCCAAGAGTAAAAGGTTTAGCATTCCTGTTATCCCTGTTCCATTTGACAGGGTAAGTCAGGTGGAAGACACTGCCCGAGACTGGAGGTAGATTCAATCGAGGCTTTCAGAAGAGAAATGGCCAATTAAATAAATAGAGAAAAAAATTAATATGGCTACGTGGAAAAGGACAGAGCAACAAAATTAGTTGAGTAGCACTTGCAGAAAGCCAAAACAGATGAGGGCCAAATGGCGTCCCTCTAATATCATGGAAACAGATCAGTATGAAAAGAATTGTAAATTGTCACATCGCCAAAATAGTTTGTTCTGGCTTTAACACAACATTTTCCAATGCCTGCAGCCTTTCATTTTAACCTTGTTTTGAATTGGCTTGATTTTGAAACAGAAACTAACTCAATTACGAAATCCTTTAAACAATCAAAATACCAAACTTGGCTGTATAAAGCGTAATAATGTGTTTTAAATGGAAAAGCCAAACAATTTAAAAACTACATGAACCAAGAGTCGCAGTTTGATAACCATCTAATCTCTTCAATAAGTGAGATTTCTCAACTCCTAACATTTAATAATTTTATAAGCCTGGGGTACATTCTAAATGCAGGTCAACCATAATGTTTCTGAAGGCACAAGATTAGATTTATGGACTAACTTCATGGTTAAATTTTTTTTTTTGGCCAACGGTAATGAGAAACTGCAATTTATTCCCAGCTTTCCCTGCTGTAGCAATGCTGTGAAGTTAGATGTTGTATTCTCATTCGCCTCCACCACCATTTTATCATTTTTCTGACTGTACTGTCTCGTGCTCCAAATCAATGTCTACTTGAATGAAAAGAACAAAGAAAAAGAAAAATTTAAAAAAATTAGAACAGTCTAATGATGACCATGAATCAATTGTTGATTGTTGGAAAACTCCATTTGGTTCACTAATCTCCATTAGGGAAGGAAACTGCCATCTTTATCTGGTCTGGTCTATATGCGACGCCATGCCCATTGCAATGTGGTTGACGCTAAAACTGCCCTCTGGGCAATTAGGGACGGGCAATAAATGCTGGCCAACCACGACCCTGTACAAAAAGCTATACAAAAGCCTGGTTCAGCCACATTTGGAGTATTGTGTCCAGTTCTGGTCACCTCATTACAGGAAAGATGTGGAAGTGTTGGAAACGGTGCAGAGGAGATTTACCAGGATGTTGCCTGGAATGGAGGGCAGGTCTTACGAGGAAAGGTTGAGAGAGCTAGGGCTTTTCTCTTTAGAACAACACAGGATGAGAGGTGATTTGATAGAGGTGTACATAGAGTAGACAGCCAGAGACTTTTTCCTAGGGTGGAGGGAGCTTTTACGAGGGGACATAGTTTTAAAGTGAAAGGAGGTAGATACTGGGGAGATGTCAGAGGTAGATTTTTTACTCAGAGTGCTAGGGGCGTGAATGCATTGCCAGAGAGGGTAGTGGAGTCAGCCTCATTAGGGGCATTTAAGCGGCTATTAGATAGGCATATGGATGATAGTATAAGGTAGCGGTGGAGGTTAGATAGACCTTAGGTTTCGGGTAAAAGTTCAGCACAACATCGTGGGCCGAAGGGCCTGTACTGCGCCGCACCGTTCTATGTTCCACAGGTGAATTTAAAAACAGTTTCACACGTGCATCTGGAAGAAACATCATGAAGCTGTTTGACTGCAGAGATGTCACAACCAAATTCGCTACTCCATTCTTATCCAACACCAGCACCAGCACGGACATATCTACTAACAAAGGCAGGAGTTGGATAGGCAAACAGATAAGAAGTAGGATTGGAGAGACAGGCAAGTTGCCCTCCCCTCACACAACTCCTATTCCACCTTTGGCTAATTCGTCAGAAACCTCAGTGATGTACAATATACATTTGCTGAGTCGCAGGGTACCTAGGCTGCAATTTTACCTGAAATAATGTACTTACATCATGCTTAAATGGAACAGAGAGGAAGAAATGACTTTGCAAAGAGGGACCATTTTAATAAACAAAAAGGCTACAGAAAACGTCTGTGAATCCACCAAGGTAATGGGTGCCCAATCACGTATTTGTGGTTGAAACGAGTCATTCTTCAGGTGACAACTTTCTATTCAAACACAGGTGGCAGGTTCAGGGCACTATTCGACATTCCAACCCATACAAATTACTATGAGATCTTCCTGCAATGCACTGTTCAATGACTGACTGGAACATTACAGAGCAGGAGATGGCGGGCTTCAAGAATCTCATGCCACACGGGCAAACTTAAAAGTTGTATCACTGGCTTAATAAATTAGGAATGTAAGACAGTGGTTTAGTCTGGCACTGGGACGATTGCAGCCCTGCAAATAAAGACTTATTCATTTGCTAGATTTGACAGAGTGAAACTCGGCAAATAGCTCCATTGCATCTACATACGTGCTTGAAGTTAATGCTTTAGTTCAGATTTTGGTGGGGACAGCGTCTGACTCGAAGTCGAGCGCTGGCAGCCATAGAGACTAGGGCATCAGAAAGCTGTGGATATCAACTCCGTGTCCTTTCTAGTTTCTGTCAGGACAGGATTCCAGATGTGAATCAAACCTTTAAGGGAAAGGTGCAAGTTAGTCAAGCTGGACAGTACAACGGTGGATGTTAAAATATATAAATATGCAATGCTGTGTCTATATAAACATACAAAAGATATCTGCATTTCAAGAACAGATGTCACGACCTCAGGACACCCTAAAGTAATGAATTACTTGAGGTATAGCACCTGTTAGAAACATGGCTGCTAACCGGGGCCTAGCAAATTCCCATAAACAGCAAATAACAGTGGGTGTGGCCAGATAATTGGTTTTTGTCATGTTGACGGAGGGTTAAATATTGGCCAGGGCACCAGGGAGTACTTCCACGATCTTCTTTATAATAGCAGCCAAGGGATCTTCACCTCAAGAGACAGAGTAGACAGGACTTTGTTTTAACATCTTATCAAAGACAGCACCTAACAGTGCAGGAGAGAGAACTGCACAGGAGTGGCAGCCTACAGTTTTGCACTCAAGTCCTTGAACCCACAAACTTTTGACACAAGTCGAAAATGGTAACCACTGAGCCACAGATGACCTTATTGATAAGCTCATATTCTGGGGAGAAGGAGAGAGACCAATAGCTGATAGATTGTTGGAGGAGTGCCATCATTACTTCAGGCTCTTAAAAGCACTCACTCCAAACACCATCCCAGGCTCAGAAAGACAAGCACACACCACTTTTCCCAAATTCAAGTGGACAAAATACAAACATTTCACATATTCACCCCTGCAACAACACTGAAGAAAGAACTTAGCTTTTGCAGCATGAGTTTAGGTAGAAGTTTTACTTACTGCAATACAACTAAAAATAGCTTTGTAGAGAATTATTCTGATGACCTGACGTCTCACCACCACCTAAGAGAAACAGATCTGTAGAGAGAAGGGGGAAAGGAAAAGATGTTAGAAACATTTTCGAAAATAACAACGCAACCACCAGTCTCATTATTAGGACCACTTACTAAAATCTTAACACATTTGGCTTCTAAAAGTGCCAAATTCATGGAAGGTACAAATATACAAGAGGGTCCTGGTAACTTAAATACATGGCAATTACTGGACAGAATATAGGGTCACCAAACCTTAGTTAGTCATTCAACCATGAAGGACTATCACAGCCAATCTTAATTCTATTCTACCAGGTCACTGAATTACAATCGCAAAGTATTACTTACAGCACAGCAACAGTCCAACTGGTTTTTCTGCCCAACATGAGCCTCCTTCCAGCTACCTCTTCATCTCATACTATCAAAATCTGCTTGTATTCATTTCTCCGTCCCATGTTTACCCAGTTTCCTCAAGATATTTATACTATTCAGCTCAAGCTTACCCTTTGGAAGAGAGTTCCACATTCCAGTGAAATATCTCCTGAACACTCTATATTGGATTAATTGGTGACTGTTTATGATTCTTAGCCGAGTGGCCACAGTAAGTTGAATCGTCTTCCTGACGTTGACCCCATTGAGCCTCCTCTTAACCTTAATCTGCTCTAGTTATAACAGAAGCAGGAAAGTTGGTTGATGTAACAAGGTGTAGAGCTGGACGAACACAGCAGGCCAAGCAGCATCAGAGGAGCAGGAAAGGTGACGTTTCGGGTCCAGACCCTTCTTCAGAAAAGTTGGTTGATGTGCTGTTTTTGACAGAAACAAATGCAGGTCCACTGCTGCAATCAGCTCACAAAACAACCAAGGTGCCAGACCGAGGCATTCACTATCTGGATGGATCAGGGCACTTACACAGCGGAGCAGCACATTGATCAGGCGGGGCTCATGTGAAGAATTAAACTTAAGCAAGCCATGACAAGGCTGCCTGTACTCGTGCAACTGCACTAGCAGTCAAGAATTAGTGCACTCAGGCGACACAGGCTGTAAAACGGAGAAAATAAAAGTTGATGATAGAGTGTGTCAATCAATCACAGAGTCAACTGTCCCACGTCAGTGAGTGTTTATCACATCCATGCCAAGAAAACAACCCAAATGGCTGCCAAGCACTCGGGGTCAAAGGAGATAGGAAATATGGCAACAGGACTTAGTATACAACTGTCACAAGCCTCCAAGCAGCTAGGCGAGCTGCAATGGCAGCAGTAATACTCACCTGCACAGGAAAGCAATGATTTCTGTGTGAGTAAAGAAGGAAAAGTAGGACGTGGAGTACATGTCACAGAACCAAAGAGGGGCATTGGGAAGAGATTTCACAAGGTGATTTATGTTCATAAATATTAGAGCTGCAGCTTCAATTTACAATGCAACACTCAATCCCAAAGCATGTTGCATTTCACAGAAATCTGTTTCTAACAAAGGGCAGTTATTTCAGCCATTATAACTAGTTGCTGTGGAGGGGGATTTAAAAAGGACACGTTCATAACACAGAGTAAATGCACCAAGTAGACGGACACATAACCATCCAGAGTGGTACTAAATTTTACCCTAATCAGTGCTGAAATTTGTATCTTCAGCCAGAGCAGCAATGATTAATTTACACTGGTGGCTCTGTGGTGAACAGGGAAGAGAAAAACCAGGTCCTTCATCACAAGATAGTCTACCTTGGGAAATGCATACATCAACAGTAACACGCAATGTGAACATGGCAGCCTGTTAAGTTCACGTGGGCGAAAAATTCTACCACTCCAAAATAATAAAAGCAAAGTACTGTAGATGTTGACCATCTGAAATAAAAACAGATAGCACTGGAGAAACTCAGCATGTTAAGCAGCATCTAAACAGGACCATTTTGGAGTGAAAGCATTAAATGCATTTCTTCTACTATAGCTGCTGGGTTTCTCAGGCACTTTCTGTTTATCATACTAGGATCCTGTTGGTTACACAGAAATATACAGCACAGATCCCTATGTTCACTGACAACTGATTGAGCAGCAGAAAAATGATCAGTAGCGCAATTATGAAGACTGGAACCTTACTGACCTCAGCATGTGGTTCTAGTTGTTTTGTTGACAAAAGAATTCAACTGAACTCCTCAAATACACACGTATATGTATACATATACAATACACACAACTGGTGCACACACCATTACAGTAAAATACTATTTTTATACAAGAACTCCAACAGACATGAGGTCTGGCAGCTTCTGTGCAGAGAGAAAAAGTGTTAACATTTTTGAGTTCAATGATTCCTTCGGAGGCAAAGTTTTTGGTGTCATGCGCATCAATGCTGGTGATAAATCTAAAGCAATAAACATAAGTACCAGACAACAATCCAATCTTGACAAATGGACCACATTCACACCACTACTGCTTAAACAATGCCATGGCCATAAACATCAGAGCTACAGGTCAATGCTACGTAGCTAAAACAAAAAAAAATCAATGAACAATCATTTGAGCAACAGGCAAAATGACTTTTCCACAATCATTTAGAACGACAAGAATTATTGCAGTTACACGTGAAACCTTTTCAGCTAGCACTTCAACTTAGAAAATTTCATAAGTTTATACTGCAATAATTACTGAAGCAAAAAAGCTTAAACATGTAATGTATCCTTTAACATGGCACAGTGCCAAAAAAATTAAGACAGCAGAACAAGAACCCAGTTGTAAACAATCAGCATATGTAGCACATGGATTTATACTAAGATTCATTCAAAGTTAAAATAACATTCTTAAACCTGACAATAACAAACGACTGCAAGTAGAGAAGGAACCTTCAATCCCTTATCAAAATTAAGGCCTGCCCCAATCATGCCAGGTTCAATCCTTTACAACAGTTTCAAGTTCTCAAGATAGAAACAGTTATCTTTTACAAGAAAAAGGTCATTCCTCCCCACAACTGTCTCTTTTTTGAGGGGCAGGAGGAAGAGATGCAGGAGGCTGAAACACACAGATGTGCTACATATAAACACAAGTCATTTCCAAAAAAAAAATACAACTGCGTTAGACCTAGCCTGAGAGTTAAGAGAGACAGCAATATGTACAGGCACTGTTTGTTCTGGAGAGGCCATTGGTGGGGGAAGCAGAGGGGGTCTAAGGTCATGGCAGAAATTGTTTGCAGGCTGACCTCAATTCTCAAATCCAGTATATTATTTTTAAAAGAATACAATTATTTTAATGGAACGCTGGAGGTCTTGTTTATTTTATTACATGCCACATGGAAGCCAAGTAACTAAAACCATCATTAATACTGGAGGGGGAGTGAGGAAAAGGTGAATTTATTGAGAGTAAACATAAAATAAAAATCTGGCAGTTAACGTTAAGTCAAAAAAGTCGTCAGGCCTTTCACTCCCAGACAAATCCCCTTGATGCCACGTCTCTTGTTATATCACCTCCCCTTTTCTGGGTTAAACTGGAAGCATTTTAATACGCCGTAAGGTATTTATTTTTTATTTGGAAAAACATGATTTTTTGTCAGTACAGGTAAGGTTTGAAGATTTCTTTTTCTTTGGACTGAGAGTTTCTAGAAACGGGTTTTCTTTCCATACCAACAATCAGGATGCCCGGGGCCTGCATGCATGCATGCATGCATACATACATACATCCATCCATCCATCCATCCCAACCTCCTCTTTCTCCCTGCACTCGCCAGCCCACTCCAGGTAGGCCTCAGAGCCAGGGCCTTGCCCGAAAGGCAGGCAGTGTTTTAGTCACTCGACGGCCCCCGGGGCGTTGTTGGGGGGGGGGGGGGGGTTGAAGGTGGGGACTCCAAACGGGCGCAAGACAAGGAAGCCGGTCTCCCGTCCCGTGGGGTGAGAAGGGGAATGATCGTGCGAGCCCGGATGCATTGAGGCCCTCGCCTCCCCGTTACCTCCGGTGAATCAGGATAGTCCGTCTCCGCCTCTCAATCGTCGCCGTCGCTGCGGATTCTCCGCCGATTCTAAGATGGCCGCCGCGCAGCGCGTCACGTGACCGCCCCCTTTCCCTGACGCTCAGCGGGCCCCGGGTTTGCCCGGATGTGGGTGGGAGGGGCCTCCTCACACTCTCTTCCCCACCCCCGCTCCCACCAGCGAAGAACGCACCACGTGCCGCGCGGGAAACAAAACAACGGCTTTCCCCTCCCCCGCGCCGCACACAAGGACCAGCCCTGAACCCGCGCCCACGCTTATTAGGCCCCGCCCTTAGACTCAGACCGCGCCCCGCGGCTCAGGCCCCACCCCTATGAGCACTGACTCCACCCTCCCCAAGGAAAAACACTGGCTCCGCCCCCAAACGCTCGCCCTCCCCCCGCAAAACGCTCAGACATCGCGTCCCCACAAACACTTAGACCCCACCCCAAAACACCCAGACCCCGCCTACGCACACTCGGTCCCTGCGCCCCCCCTCCCGCACGTTTAGGCCCCGCCCCTTCATGCAACACCGAGCCCACACCCGGACCACGCCCCCACACAAAGTCTCCCTCCGCCACGTGCAGTTCCCGCCCCCACAAATAGGCCCTTCCTCCGGGTACAGGTCTGTCCTCTGGACCCCTGATGTTTTGTTTGGTGGCCAATGCTTTAGTGTTTTGTTGGGGTTGAAATGTGTGGTTGATTTGGTGTCACTGACGTCTGTAGCATGGAAACAGGCCCTTCGGCCTAACTTGCCCATACCCCACCCTCAGCTTTCACAATTAAACTAGTCCCATTTGCCTGCCTTCGGCCCATATCACCCCATACCCATCCCATTCACGTACCTGTCCAAATGTTTCTTAAAAGACAAAATTGTACTCACTTCCACCCCTACCTCTGGCAGCCTGTTGCAGACGCTCACCACCCCCGGTGTGAAAAAAATGCCCCTCTAGACCCTTTTGTATCCCTCCCTCTCGCCTCAAACCTATGTCGGCTAGTTTTAGTCTCCCCTATCATGGGGAAAAGCTGTCCAGTGTCTATCTAAGCCTCTCATGATTTTAAACAACTACAAGGTCACCCCTCAGTCTCCTACACTCCAGGAAAAAATGTCCCAGCCTATCTAAACTCTCCTTATTACTTAAACCTCCAGTCCATGTAGCATCCTGGTAAATCTTTTCTGCACTCTTTCTGGTTTAATAATATCCTTTCTATAGGGTGACAAGAACTGCCAAATGTGGCCTCACCAATGTCTTGTATAGCTTTAACAAGATATACCAACTCCTATGCTCAATGCCCTGACTGATGACAGCATTGGTCTTTGTAAAGTCATAAATTATAAAGTTCTTACAGTGTGGAAGTAGATTATTTGGCCCATCAGGTCCACACCAACCTTCCAAAGAGCATTCCACCACATCCCTGTAACCCTGCATTTCCCATGGCTAATCCACCTAGCCTGCACACTATGGGCAATTTAGCATGGCCAATCCATCCAACCTGCTCATCTTTGGACTGTGGGGGGAAATACTGCAGCACCCAGAGGAAACACACACAGATGCTGGGAGAATGTGCAAACTCCAGACAGACAGTCATCTGTGGCTGGAATTGAACCTAGTTCCCTGGCACTGTGAGGCAGCAGTGCTCACAACTGAGCCACTGGACTGCTCTACAAAGTCTGTGATGTACCACAGGAATTAAAAAATGAACCCTAATAATTACTGCTCAATCATAACCTGTCACAGTGAAAACAGAGAGTTTCAAAGATACTCTGTGATCTGATTTGTGGAAAAGGGGTAAGTGTTACAAAGAAGAGTCATATCCAACTCATGGTCCCTCTCCACAGACACCGCCAGACTCACTGAGTATTTCTGGAGGTTTCTGTGTTTTTTTCAAGGAGGTTCCAGCTTTTTGCTACAAATCACAACATTTTTTCATTCTGTGACGAAGACACTTTCAAGTTTTGTGGAGATACCTGGAGTGGTTTCTTTAAAAGTGGTTGTTGAAAGGTCACTGCGGACTTTTGAGTACTTGTTTTTAACAAGGTTTCCTAGAAATTACATGACAGCTTGCTTTGCTATAGATGTTTCTGGGGGCTGGTCTTTGAACAGTGGATGGGAGAGATTCCTGTTTTAAACAGGCAGCCTTGGAGGAAAGTTTGCTAATAACAAGCAGTGTTGTGGGAAAGCCCACCAAGAACAAGCCGCCAAGCTGACCACTCCTGTTTCTGGAAAGAAAATCCCTATACGTCAGGACAGGGTGAAAATCTTTTTTGAAAGAACAATTGCAAGAACAAGTCAAGGTTGTATTTCATGAGCTAGCTATGATTGCAAGAGTTCAGAGACAAACTTGCACAGTGAGTGACTTGACCACATGTTCCAGAACACCCTACTTTCATCTTTCTGCTTTCAAGAATAACTCTTTTTTTCATAGATAATTGATATCTGCAGAGAAATCTTTTTTATCCTTCTTCCCAATAGAGGGTAAGGGCATAGCACTAAGTCATTTTGTCCCCTAGGTGGTCTAGTGGTTAGCACTGCTGCCTCACAGCTCTAGGGACCTGGGTTCAATTCCACCCTCAGGCCACTGTCTGTGTGGAGTTTGTACATTCTCCCCATGTCAGTGTGGGTTTCTTCTGGGTGCTCAGCTTTCCTCCCACAGTCTAAAGATGTGCAGATTAGATAGATTGGCTGTGTTAAATTGCCCCATAGTGTCCAGGGATGTGTAGGTTAGGTAGATGAGCCATGGGAAATACAGGGTTATAGAGATAGGGTAAGGGTCTGGTTGAGATGGTCTTCAGAAAGGCAGTGGACCTGACAGGCCAATTGGCCTGCTTCCACACTTTTACGGATTCTATGGCACCATGGACCGAATGGTCTCCTTATGCTCTGTAATTATTCCGTGATTCTCTGGTCTCCAATCAGAAGAGCAGGATGTGAAATCTGGTTAGGTGGAGCCAGTAAACAGCAAGAAGGAGCAAACATTGGTACCAGTGGATTTTAAGTTACCGAACAGTTGTAATGCAGGGCATGCTATAAATCAGGAAAATAGAAGTGCATATAGCAAGGGAAATACAATAATCACAGGTGATATCAATCTACATACAGACTTAGTAAACCATGAGCATTAATACTGTATAGGAAGAATTCCTGGAATGTGTTCAAAATAGCTCTCTAGAGCAATGTGTTGAGAAACCAACAAAAGCATAGGCTACTTTAGATGTAGTACTATGCAATTAGCATAGGCTAGTTAATAACTTTATTATCATAAAAGAACCTTCAGGAAACAGGGCCCATAACACGGTAGAATTTTCCATTAAGTTTGAAAATTATGTAGTTCAATCCGAAACTGGGGTCTTAAATCAAAACAAGGGCAATAATGAAGGGATGAGGAGGAAGACTGTGATGAATAGGAAAATAAAAGAACAAGATTTGACAGTGGATTGAGAATGGCTAAATATTTATACAAATAATGCTTGATTTTCAGAAAAAAAACTTGCATTTCTTTCAGGCAGATGTACGCAACAGGAAAAATGAGAGAGAAGTTACTGATTGTTTTGGATGGAAGGAAGAGACTTATTCAGTGTCCAAAAATATTATAAGTCGGAGAAGTGGGAGAATTTTAGAACAACAAAGGAGGACTACGAAATTGATAAGCAGAGTGTTGAACAAGAATATAAAATATCAATAATCATAAAAATGGATTGTAAAAGCTTCTGAGAGCATGCAGAAAGGAAAAGATGATAAAAGACAAATGTGTGGCTCTTACAGGGAGAGAGAGGAAATATATAAAAGGAAATAGAGAAATGGCAGGGAAGCTACTTAATGATGCTGGTCTGTAAAATGCACAACGCCTCCCTGAAATAATCAAGACCCTCGGGTCTACTGAGGACCTGGAACTGGAAAAAATTAATATTAGTATATAAAACAGGTTTGGAGAGTTTAATGGAACCAACAATTGACAAATCCTTGGCACCTGATGATCTTCGTCCTAGTGCGTTGAAGGCAATGGCTCAAGAGCAAGTGGATGAAATCGTAATCATCTTTCAAAATTCTACTTATTCGGCATTGGTGCCTGCAGATTGAAAGATTGTAAAAGGAAGGAAGGAGAAAGAAAGCGAGAACCTCAGAATTCATAGCCTGACATGAGTAGCAGAGAAAATATTAGAATCTATCATAAACAATGTGAGTACTAGATATTTAGAAAATAATTGTCTAATTAGATAATGGTACAATCCCAACTGATGCTATTAACGGACAAGGCAGATCCCAGAAAGGAAGCTGGCTTGATAGATCATATGTTTATTTATTCTGGTTTTAGCAAATTGATTGCTCACTGAAACCTAAGCATGCCATGTTGCAGAAAAATAAAACATAAGATTATCACAAAATATATTAATATAAAATAGAACAATCCAAGCTGTTTATAACACAAATTCAGCAATTTAAAGACTCACTGTAGAAGTATAATCCCAAAGCACTCATTTGTAAATTGAAATGGAAGAAAACAGCCTTTGTATAGTAATGAAAATACCGTTCATAGAGTTCTCACACTAAAGTCCCTGTATATAACACCTGGATAGGTTTAAATCAATTGTGACTTCAACTAGAACTGCAGTACACCCAAGCTTCAATATGTGCAGTTTTAAGTAACCTCATCAGGGTATTATCTCAACACTTCTGCTTGGGGACTTACGCATTTCTCCACTCTAAGGTAATCAAATTCACTGCACACTGTTCCCTTCACAGGAGCATTTTTCTACATTACCATCCTATTCCAAGGACTCTCCCACTCAAATTAAAAAAAAAACTGAAACTGGAAGTCTTCCCCCGTAAGCTATGGGTGTTTCCCTTAATCTTAAAAGAAGTCTGATAAACGTTAACATATCTTGAGGCATACCTTTTCGGATTATAAAATAATCTAAAATAAACATAAATCTATTGGTGGCACACAAAACCCATTTACTTTGAAGCCAGGCCTCAAAAACAGTTATTAATAGAAATCACCATAGTTACAGAAATAGTGACAAGGTAATATTAACCTGAAACACACAGAAAACCCTCAGCTTACTAACTCAAAAACCATTAAAAATTATATATATAAATCCCACAATTTTACATCACAACAGAGTTAATATGGATTATGAGGGAGAAATCATATTTGACAAAGCTGGTAAAGATTTTTGAGGCATTATTAGCAGAATTGATAAGAGGTTACCAGTGGATGGAGTATTTGGATTTTCAGAAGGCTTTTGATAAAGTACCACACAGGAAGTTACTAAACAAAATTAAAGTCTATGTTATTAAAGATAATTTATGAGCATGGGTTAGTTAACAGAGAGTCGGACTGAATGGGCCTTTCTCAGATTTGCAAGCTAAAACGGGTGGGATGCAGCAAAGATCAATGTTTGGGCCCCCACTGTTTACAATCTGTATCAATGATTTGGTTGTGGAATAGGGATTTCCCACGTTTGCAGATAGCACAAAACTTGGTGAGGTGTGGAGAGGATTTGAAAAGGTTTTGTGGGGATTTAGACAGGCTGAGTGAGTAAGAGCATGGCACATGGAATATAATGTGGATGAGTATGAGTTTATCACTTTGGTAGGACGATTTTGAAGCATACAAAGTTATTACAGGAATCAATAGGGTACATATTTCCCCCTAGTTCAGGTGTAGTCTAGGACCAGGGGCACTGCCTTAGACTGAGGCCATTTCAGACTGAGATACAGAGGGATTTCTGCAGTCAGTGGGTGGTGAATCTTAGCAATTCTCTACCCTGGAGGCTCATTGAGTATGTTCAAGACAGAGCTCAATTGATTTCTAGATGTGAGGGACATCATGGGAATAGGGCAGGAAAATGGGGTTGCAGTAGAAGATCGGTCATGATTTAATTAAATGGCAGAGCAGATTTGAGGGACTGAATGGCCTGCTCTTGAGCCTATTTTCCTAGTTCCCTGAAACTGTCAGTTTGCTTATGGATGTTGATTTCCATTGCCCTATATCTCAGTAGCAGGTAGCACCATAGGTGCGTGTATTTGTAAGTATCTCCACTTTTGTGTATGTGTGTGTGTGTTATTGTATGTGTGTGTGTGAGAACTCTTGACCCTGCAGGTATTTGACTGTATGTGTCAATCTCTGTATATTAGTCTGTTTGTGTGTGTCTGAGTCTCACTATATGTGTGTGTATATTTGTTTGTGATTAGCGTGTGCATACATGTGCCTCATTGTGTTTCTGCCTGAACTCTGTGCATGCTTGTGTGTTGGTGTGTGTTTCGCCATGTGTATGTATGTGTTTGTGTGTGATGCTGTGTGTAAGAATTGGAATTCGTATCTATGTATATGTGTGTCTCTGTCTGTCTGTGTGTATTTGTGTATAAGAGTAGGAATCAGTGTTTATGTGTGTGTGTGTATCTGCCTGACTGCGTATGTGTGTATGTGCGATCCTCTCTCAGGCTAACATCCTCAGCATCAAGGCACTGATTACAATCAACCAGCTACAGTAGGCAGGCCACATTGTCCACCTGCCTGACATGAGGCCTCTAAACCAACCCTGTACTCCGAGCTCTATCATGGCAGGCAGCGACCAGGAGCGCAGGGCAAATGTAACATGTACATCCTCAAAGCCTCTGAGAAATTGCAACATTCCCAGCAATTCCTTGGAATCTCTTGCCCAAGACCCATCCAAACTGGTGAAGAAATATCCACAAAGATGGAAATACCCATGTGGACCATCTGCAACAGGCCCAGTTGGAGGTCAAGAGCAAACTGTGGGAGGAGTGAGCAGAAACCCTGGATTCTCACCCTCCCCTTCAAGCAGCACCCAGCCCCCCAGCAGTTGAAAGAGCTTTTGACTCTTCAGTTACATTAGGACGACTCCGGTGTGGAATAAAGTCAACCTCAAGCCGAATAGGCTAGCTAAAAGGAAACTGTGGGATTGTGTCTGTGTCTCTGCCCCTCAGGGACCACTGTCTCTGAGAGTCGTAGGGTAACCGGATGTGTACAAGCTGGGGTGGTGAACCTTGGGCATGCGGATGTACCTCCGTACCTTGACCCCTTTCCCCCTCACTCACCTGTACAGGTACATTATCCTGTACTCCCCTACCTCACTCACCTGTACAGGTACATTGTCCTGTAATCCCCCCCACCTCACTCACCTGTACAGGTACATTATCCTGTACTCCCCCACCTCACTCACCTGTACAGGTGTATTATCCTGTAGTCCTCCACCTCACTCAGCTGCACAGATACATTATCTTGTACTCCAGATGATTAGAACGTTAACTTTCAAGGGAAAAATTAATGAAGAAGAAAATCCTTTCAGGAACTGATATAAGTTTGGGGCTGAAAAGCCTAAAGTGATTTAGAAGTAGGTGCCTGCTGCTCTAGGGTTTCCGAGAGTAATTGAGTTTTTTAAAAAAATGTAAATTTTCCGGCTGTGGAACTGTCTTGTGATTAAAGTGATACAATGCCACCTTCTGCTGGTGGATGGGTGAAATTGCAGAAGAGGAGCAGACGCTGCCAAGGGATTTAATGAGACGCAGAATTAACTCAATACGACAGGAGGCATCAGCAGGACCACAGGATCTGCGTGGACGTGGAAATGTGAGCATTGTTTAACAGAACTCTTTGGAAAACTTGGAGGAACTTCAATTAAAATCGAAAGTACTTCCAAAAAAAAAACAAATGAATATTCTTATGGAAATGTTATGCACTCTAGGGATGCTATGATTCTATGAAATATGAAAATATGGCTAAATTTAAAAAGCTGAGAAAACGAAAACACAGTTATTTTAAAAACATGATGTTGATGGGAATAGTGTAGAGGGAAATTTACTCTGTATTTAACCCCTTGCTGTCCCTGTCCTGGGAGTGATTGATGGGGACAGTGTAGATGCAGTTTTATTCTGTATCTAACATTGTGCTGTCTCTGTCCTGGAAGTGTTTGATGGGGGACAGTGTAGAGAGAGCTTTACTCTGTATCTAACCCCGTGCTGTCCCTGCCCTGAGACTGTTTGATGGGGGGCAGTATAGATGGAGCTTTACTCTGTATCGAACCCTATGCTCCTTCTCAAACTCTCCCCTCACCTGAGGTGTGGTGATCCTCAGGTTAAACTCACCAATAGGCACATCTGTGTTCACACTTCAAGTAACCAAAGTCTGTATGTTGTCACAACCACAGAGCAAATAGCATCAATGCTTTTAAGGGGAGGTGGGAAAAGGGATTGGAATTTATGGTGCTGGGTTCAGATGAAGGGTGGGTATAAGGAGGGTCTGACAGACTATAAACAACAGGCTTCAGGCCCAAAGGCTGTAAATTTTAAATAAGACTCTGTCTGTTACCTCCTGGAGATCTGTAGGATCCGTAGACAAAGAGTATCATTGTCCTGAAACTTTGGGTCATATAAAGCCACTAATTACAATGTGATAATTCCAACATTTTTGGATTTTAAATGCACCAGTGGGTACCACTTTTGGCCACAAAAAATAACCTGAGTTGTTCTTGCCTCTCCTGAGTGAATAACTGACCCCAAATGATGGAACTCGCCGCTGTCCTCCCCAACCCCCAACCCAGATAACCATCAAGGCCACACACATGTCCTGGATCCAGGCCACTCTGCTCCATTAAATGGTGATGCTGTTCTCGATGTTTGAGGGCTGCAGGTATTGGTATTTCAGATCCAGACCCTTATTACGCTCCTGGATCATGTGATCGATCACCCTCAGCTCTTTCTGAAATTTCTTGATGACAGTCTTCATCGCCTCCTCAGTGAAATACTCCTCATAGTCGCCAAGTTTTCTCTGGGTGACAATAGAATGGTTTCTGATCAGTGGGGTGCAGCTATGCTGAGTGCGAATTGGGAGCTGCGTGTTCACAAGGGGGATATGGGGTGACAGTCCCATTGTACCAGGACCCTAGCGGAAAGGCCAAACAGGGCGATCACAACTTTAAAGTGGTTAAGGAGGGGCAGGGCTCAGGAGAGGTTATTAATGTTTCCAGAACAAGCAATAGGACAGAGAGTACAGAAAGGGTCAGGAATCTAAATTCAGGCACAGCAGATAATGGGTGAAGTATGAGGAGGGAGGCAGTCAACACAGGACTGAGAGTGTTGTCCTGAAATGCAAGCAGTCTACGAAGCAGGGTAAATGAGTTTGTAGCACAGATTGAAATGGCGGGTACGATGTTGTAGGTATCACAGACATGTACCTGTAAGAGGATCAGGTCTGGGAACTAAATGTCCAATATTATGCGTCCTATAGAAAGGATAGGCAGAGGGGTTGCCTTATTAGTAAGAAATGAAGTTAAATTGTAAGCAATATACGATCAGGAGGTGTGTAATCTGTGTGGGCGGAGCTGAGGAATCGCAAAGGATAACGAACCCTGATGGGAGTTATGTACAGGCTTCCTAGCAGTAGTCAGGATGTGGGAAAGAAAATAAAACAGGACTAGGAAACATAGGCAACATTTCGATAATCATGGTGGGGGGTAGCGGGCTGCAAAATGCAGCTGGACTGGGAAAATCAGGTTGGTAGTATATCCCAAGTAAAGGAATTCATGGAATGTGTATGATGGGTTTTTTTTGGATCAGCTTGTGGTAGTACCCACTAGGGAACAGGCAATTCTGGATTTGGTGATATGTAATGAGGCAGACTTGATAAGGGAGCTTAAGGTGAAGGACCCCTGGGGGCAGTGACCATAATAGAATAGATTTCACCCTGCAGTTTGAGAGGCAGAAGCTGGAATCAGATGTAGCGATATTAAAACTGAGTAAAGGTAACTATAAAGACATGAGGGAGGAGCTGGACAGAGTTGATTGGAAGTGGAGCTGAGCAGGGATGGCAGGTGTTTCTGGGGGTAATTTGGGAGAAATTTATCCCAAGGAAGAAGAAACGTATTAAGGGGAGGACAAGGCAAGAATGGCTGACAAGGGAAGTCAGGAACAACATAAAGGTGAAAGAAAACGTATCCAGGTGAAAGCCTTTAAAAACCAGCAGAGGACAACTAAAATAAGCAATTGGAGGGGTTAGAGATGACATATCACTGCAGCTCAAGACTTCTCAGTTGACGGCGATGTTTGTTTTGGGTTAATTATGTGTGAATTCTTTGTATAAATACCAGGAGCTACTACTCACTGGGCTGTGAGTTTTATGGAGTGTGGTTAACATAACTGTGAACTAAAAGTGTGGCCTGGGATTCTGTTCAAATACGTTTATATTCTCGTGCATAATGTCAGCTTCCTGGGCCCTAAGCTCTGGAATTTCTTCCTAAAATCCTCTCCATCTCCTTTTAAAGCTGACCTCTTTAATTAAATGGCCCTGTTTCAATAGCTCATTATGTGTCTTGGCGCCGAATGTTGTTTGCTAGACTCTCCAGGGTTGCTTACGTCGTAGAAAGTACTATATAAACGCAGATTGTTTGGTGCTGAGTTGACTGGTTAACTCTTTACCATTCCAGGCTGGGGACGGCTGAGGGTCTATGAAACAGCCATCTGAATGCAGGACTGGGTGATGTCCAGCAGAGATTCCATGATATATTCCATCGTCACGGTCCCCTTTTTGGAGGGGGGAGGTCTCCTCATGGAGATGGGTGCATTGGGGACCCAGGCACCCCAATCATACTGTTCAAAAAGGAAAGGAAATCAGACTCAGACAGGCAGAAAGACAGAAAGGGCTTTCCTTTGCAGTGACAGCTCTCCCTGTCCAAAAATACCTCCTGGGGTTCTTGATCCATCCAGGACTCTCCCAGAATGGAAGTCTAATCTCCCGGGCATTGCTGGTTACAGCACAGGAGTGTGTGGTAGGGTGGAGATGACGCTTTCCCCTTGGCCCATAGCCTTGTATGCCTTGGCATTGCAAGTGCACATCTAAGTTCTTCAATGGTCTGCAGTTTCTGCCTCTACCACCCTTACATGCAGTGAGTTCCAGATTCCTGGGTGAACATTTTTTTCCTTTCATTCCATCTAAACCTTCTGCCCCTTACCTTAAATCTAGCCCCCCGGTCATTGATTCCTCCACCAAGGTGAAAAGTTTCTTCCTGACCACAGCCCTCATAGTTTTCTACATCTCAATCATGTCCCTTCTCAATCTCCTCCATTCCAAAGGAAACAACCCTAGTCTGTTCAATCTCTCTTCATCACTGAAACTCTCTAGCCCAGACAATATTCTCATAAATCTCTCCGGACTGGATAACATCCTGGTAAACCTCCTCTGCACCCTCTCCAGTGCAATCACATCCCTCCCATAACATGGATTCTAGAACTATGTTACCTGAATTCCATTCTTCCCAACACCATATCTGCTGTTTGTTTTTGAGTGGGGGGAGGAAGGTCTATATATGCCTCCCCAGTGTTGCCTTATTTGACGTCTCTCAGCACCGTCCCAATCAATTCTTTGTAACTGTACCTGTGTCCACCACTTTCTCTGGAAGTTGATTCAACACACAAACCACTCTCAGAGGGAAAAAAAAAGCCTCCCATGGGTTTTTAAAATCTTTCTCCTCTCACCTTAAAAATATGTCCCCTAGTTTTGAAATTCCCCACCCGAGCGAAAATACACCCGCTATTCACTTTATCTATACCCCAAATGATTTAGTAAACTTCCATAAGGTCATCCCTCAAGCTCCTACGCTCCAGAGCCTATCCAGCCTCTCCACATAACTCAAACCCTCCAACATCCTGGTAAATCTCGTCTGAATCCTCTCCAGCTTAATAATATCCTTCCTGTAACAGGGCAATTAGAACTGTACTCCAGAAGAGGCCTCACCAACGTCCTGTATAACCCTCAACATGACGTCCCCACTCCTATACTCAAAGGTCTGAGCAATGAAGACAAGCATGCTAAACACCTTCTTAACCACCCTGTCCTCCTGTGATGCAAACTTTGAAGAATTATGTACCTGACCTTTAGGTCTCTCTGTTCTACAACACTACCTAAGGCCCTACTTTTAATTGTATAAGTCCTGCTATCACTCATGTCTAATCTGTCCCATCCATTCTCCTAGTTTGTTGTGGATGCTTCAGAGATGGTGCTGTTGGCTGTTAATTCCTCCTGCCTTTCATGACTTTCCTTGAGCACTCCCACAATAGGGTTAGGGCCAGCATCAAGAGCAAGAGCTGCTGGGTTCTGGCCTCATTTTGAACCTGTTGGCATGTTTCATGTGATCAGACACATGTCTAAGCCAGCCAAGAGTAGTTCTGACCAGAATTAGCAAACTCCTCACAGATCCAACATGCCATTTTTGAAGGCTAGTCACCATCGGGATGCATGAGACACAGGCAGTGAATTTTGCTCAGCACCATGGGAGTATTTGCCAGCGTTAGGATGTCAAGAGTGTGAAAGGTACTCTTTCAGAAATAGCAGCTGACAAGAGCTGAATGGAAGATTAGCAGTTATTCTCTAGGCAGGATAAGGAATGTATGACCAAGATATTAAAGGAAGGGAACAAGCCTAGGGTGTGCCTGGAGTGGCTGGTACAAACAAAGAAGCAGATGAAGCAGTACTACCAGTGAGATATGGGAAGCCTTGCAAGGATGAGAACAATGGCTGATGTATGTATAGGAGGGAATAAGGAACTCTTTGGAGGCTCAATGCAGACTCAATGGTTTGAATGGCCTGTATCTACACAGTAGGGATTCTATTAACTATATTGAAGGCTGAGATAGACAGATGTGTAATCACGAGTTAAGGGAATCAAGAGTTCTGGGAGAGTGGAGTTGACGATGATCAGATCAGCCATGATCTTGTTGAATGATGGAGCAGACTCTATAACCCATCAACTTCTTAAGGTTGGCTCTCCCTGTCGACTCTTGAATAAACAATTGTGACCTGTTCCAGAGTCTCCTGAGGGTTTGTCAAGTCACAGCATGACAGTGAGGCATATATATCGGTCAGGCCACCAGGGGAACACCACTTCGGTACTTTCACTCATGCCATTGAATCATCTATTTTATCCAAGGAGGCAATCTTGCCCCGGTTTCACCTGAAAGGTAGAACCTCTCTCAGAGCGGAACTCCCTCTGTACTGCACTAAACCCTCAGCATGGGTTATGCATTAGGCACTTGTACAGGGGTTTGAACCCAGACCATGTGTCTCAGTGACGAGGGCATGGCTGTTAAACTACACTGTTGCTACACTCAGTCAAGGCAGATAGATACAAGGAGAAACTGAGCTCAGGCTCTCTGTGGGTACTCGACTCATTCTCATTCTGTGTTCCTGTTGCATTTCAATAAATGACAGAAGGAAAATCTCCTACTTGACGGGTAAAGTCTCTTTCCCAGTCTCCATCTCTCTCTCTCCATCTCCATCTCTCTTTTTCTCTCTGTCTACATTTATCTGTCCCCGTCTTCATCTCTCTCTCTCTCCCCCTGTCTCCATCTGTCTTTGTGTCTTCCTTCCTCTCCAGCTTTTTCTGTCATTTTCTCTCTCTTTCTCTGTCTTTTTCTGCCCATCTCTTTCTGTCTCAGTTCAAGTCCTACCTGCTCCAGAGGTGTGACACAGCATGTGTGAACAGGTTGATTAAAAATAGATGATATTTGGTAGATTCGAGCCTCTGTCTTAGAGCATTTGTCTAGGCCAATATTCCCTACAGTCAACATGCAGCCAAATACCCTTTGACATAGCTTCAAAAGATGTCAAGGTGCTGAATGCTGAACTAAACAGGCCGTTCACAGTGAAAAATATTCAAAACAGCCTCCAGGCTAGCCTCCTGATTTCTCATCCAGGGACATAATCACAGTACTTCCAGACCTTCATCTGTCTGTCCCTTTGTCCCTCTTTGTCTTCTTCTCTCTCTGTGTCTCTTATCCTTTACATCTCTCACACTCTATGTCTCTTCATGCTTTACATCTCTCTGTCACCTTCTGCATGTGTCTCTCTCTCTCTGTTTGCCTGTCTCTCTTTCTGCCTTTTTCACTAATCCTCTGCATTTTTCTCTCTCTCTGTGCCTGTCTCCCTCACTTCCTGCATCTCTCTCTCACTTTCTGCACGTCTCTCTTTTTCTCTCTTTCTGCAGCTTTCTCTCTCTCTCTCTCATCCTCTGTCTCTCCCTCCCTCTCACTTTATGCGTGTCTTTCTCTCTTTTTCTCTCTCTTTCTTGCTCTGTGGCATCCTCTCTGTTTCTGTCACCCTCTCTATCTCCCTGAACCTCTCTCTCCTTCTGCATGTCTCTCCCCCCTACTCCTCTCTCTGCATCTCCTTCTTCCTCCCTGTCTCTCTGTCTCACTCTCTTGTCTGTCTATGTCTCTTACCATCACCCCTCTTCCTCCCGGTTAGTCTGTGTGATGTGTGAATGGTTGGCGAGAGCAGTTTTGAGCTCCATCTCAACAATGAGTTTAAGAGCCCGTCAGCTCCCTGCCTTTAGATCCACAGGTGAGGGACAGTGAAAAATTGAAGATAACATATCTCTGGGGAATTATCATTGAGGACAGAAGATAAGAGAGAAAAGATGGTCTGGGGACACAAACAAAAGCAGATTAACCAGCAGAAATTTGCTGGAGAAACTCAGCAGGTCTGGCAGCATCTGTGGGAAGAAAGCAGTCTCTTCATCGCAACAGAGATAGTAGGAACTGCAGATGCTGGAGAATCCGAGACAACAAGGTGCAGGGCTGGATGAACACAGCAGGCCAAGCAGCATCATAGGAGCAGAGAGGCTGACGTTTTGGGCCCAGACCCTTCATCAGAAAAGGGGGAGGGGAAGGGGGTTTTGAAATAAA